TAAATAGATGCCGACAGCGCTAAGGCCGAGTGGTCTCTGCACGCCATTGTTGGTGGTTTGGACTTAGACCTAGCTACTTTGATCCCCGGCTTTGACCGAGATGGTTGCAAAGACACGCCCTGTCCCGTCAAAAAGGGTGATAAGAAGAAGTTCTCGTATAAGCTAACCATTCCCGGCGCCACCCCTACCATCGAGGCTGACGTTAAGGCCAGACTCATCGGCGATAAGGGAGACCTGTTCTGCGGGACAGTTCACGGAGACATCAAGGATTAGTGCATTTAATGACTATTATTTAATTTAATTTGTTGTTTTTATTATAAAATACACATAATATGAAAATAAAATTAATTCAATATTAATAGCAAATTACTTTATTGTGTTCAATAGACTGTAATTAAGCGCCTATTTATATTTAAAATTACGAGTTAATATTTTTATTTATTAATATTGGTTGGCGCATGAAGCTCTGAGCTATTAGAAATTAATTATTGACACCTGAATTGTTGATGCAGTGTATTTTACAAATCATATTTTGATTGTTATAGTTAAATCTGGACTATGCTCTAATAACAATTATAAAATAATAAATAGCATTCATTTCAGGTATAGCCACAAATTAACCTATAGTTTTGTATTAGATATACAGTTAATGTTAGCTTACAATTATACAGTTGGTAAAATAAGTTGGTTTCAGTAATTTCATATGCCTAAACGCATTCATAATAAAATATCATTTATGTATTTTTATTATTAAATTATATTATTATTGATATAGTTTAACATGGATCATGTTATCAAATAAGAATGAAAAATTAATAAATTATGTTGCACCGCACTATTTTAAAGAATGGGTAGGCATGTGTGGATAAAAATTACCGATAATATAAAAACTTACTGTGTAGGTAAATGCTACCATTGTAATTTTTACCCATCCATATAAAATAAAATTCAATAAAATATATGCGCAACATTACTTTTATATAGTAGTGAAATCGTCCATCCACTTCAATATTTTAAATATAATTTTACATTAAATTATTAGTTAGTTTATAATAATTTACAGTTGTTAACATAAGTTGGTATGCAAGTAATTTTTAATACCAAAGGTTTTTATTAAAAAGTGTTGTACAAACCATGATGATTGTCCTAAATGTCCATTACTATTAATATTGCCCATAAATAGCGCTCCTAGTGTTGAGGCAATATGTTATTCACAAATTATTTGCTTTTCTATTAAAAATTTAAGTGTAATTTAAACTTTATAAAAACGTATATTAAAAACCTTTGTTTAATTTACAATAATTGAATAATTTACATACAATTCACATTATTTACCATGTTTTATTGACTTGTGAGTCTACTTATTAGAATTCAGTGGTCAAATAATTATATTAATTTATGGAAATAAGAATAATATTACTGATACTTAAAAATTTATATTTTAGACTTAAACTTTAACCAAGTACAATATATTAGATGGGACATTAAATTTGATTGATAAATCACATAAAGTAGATAAGATCCACAAACTTAATAATGTAAATATAATGTTTAATCTACTTATTGTATTATAAATTATTAAATATGCTATGGGCCAATTTTAAGCTTGCACAATTGCATCTAGAAATTATTAGTGTACTAATTGTACATCGATACGGTGTTAAAGATTGAATGGGTCCATATGTAAGATTGTATGTACAAGGTCCATTTGGTTTACTATCAAAAGTACTTGTTTAATATACCTTAAAAATATCTTAATTATAAATCCGTTTTCAAGAGCTAATTGATAATCAATTGATAAAATAAATGCTTGATCATCATAATGGTTATTCACAAATACCGTGTAACTTATTGTTAATTAATGAGGGGTATTTACTACAATAATGGGAATTAAAACACAAGGTATTTATCAAAATTATTATACGGATGTTTTGAACATAGTTAATTTATCTAATATAATAGATAATTTCAATTTCATTTATAATCTAAAAATAATTACTTTGAACGAATTGAAGTGTCCGGGCACTCAACAACAAATTATTATCACCATGCTTTTACATTTACAACGTGTGGCAATACCTGACAACAAAATTCTGCCTGGTGAAGTATAAATACCGAGGTGAGTTGTGCTGGAAAATCACAATTATTTTTAAAGTAAAATTACAAGTAATTTTATTGAAAAATAACCATGCTGAAAATTGTGTGTTTGGCCCTGTTCGTCGTCGCTGTCTCAGCCGGCATCCCCTACAAGGATTGTGGTAAGCTAAATTATAATTACATTTATTAATTAATGTAGATTAATTTTAATTACATTAACTAATCACGTTGTTTGACACGCATAGGACACTCTGAAGTGACGAGCCTTGAGGTGAGTGGCTGTCCGTCCGCGCCATGCATTCTGCATAAAGGAAAGGAGACCACATTTACCATTAAGTACACCGCCAGTGAGTATTATATTAAATATATTATTATTTTACACATTAAAATTATACTATGTACATTAACTATGCACAAGTTTAAGCCTCGCAACTTATACTTATAATTTATAAGTTATAAAAGTAACATAATTTATTTAAATGTTGTTTAATAACTTTTGAATGAGGAATAAAAAACAATCTAAAAGCATAGTTAATATAATTTTTGACTAGTATATAATCAGGAATTAATGTATTTGACCCATACTAGACCAGGACAGCGCTAAGGCTGAGTGGTCTCTGCACGCCATTGTCGGTGGTGTGGATATGGACTTGTCTACACTGATCCCCGGCTTTGACAAAGATGGTTGTAAAGACACTCCCTGTCCCATCAAAAAAGGTGAATCCAAGACATTCACATACAAAGTGGTCATTCCCGCCGCCGCTCCCGACGTCGAGGCCGACGTTAAGGCCAGACTTATCGGTGAGAAGAGTGATCTCTTCTGCGGAACCGTCCATGGTTCCATCAAGGCTTAAATTAATTACCATGCTTAGTTTATTGCTGTTTAAATGTAACGCACATAATTTATTTTTGTTATAACATCAAATGAAAATAAAATAAATACAATTTTCAAATACAATTATTACTTATTTTACATGTTTAAATTCAAGTTAGATTGTGTGAAGTAAGTAGCTTATCTTTCCATTAAATTTTATCTCATGACTAATACAATCAACAGGGTAAATGTAAAATGGTAAAATAAAAATATTTTTGTCATAATAGTATTAATAACTTTGCCAAGTGCTCAATAGAACATTTACTGTATATCAATAAAACATAATCCAAATATTTTAAAAAAATTACTTTTAAATAAGCTTAAATAACGGTTAAAACATCAAAAGTTTAAATAGATTTGTATTTTTTATACTTAACCAAAATTGCAAAGAAATTCATTGAAAGTGTAATAATCTGTCATTAGAAATAATTTTACCATTAATTGTATCAATAATTTTATTTTTGTTATTCTTTTACTATAATATTATAAAATCAATCAATACTTACATTAAGAATATTCTCAATATTAATGGCTTTTCCTAATAATTCTAAACCAATTGTTGATTTCAATACACGATTAAAGTATAGTTTAATCTAAAATTTAAGGTGTTATTATTTTATGTTACCTAATATAGATAATAATATAGTAATTATTAATAAAAAATATTTTAAATAAATACCAAGAATTTAGTCCTTTTATTTGGAGATTTATAAACAAATCCGTGAACAAAATGCAAACCAATTTTAGCCTCGATATCAATCATCGCTATAATTATAGCCAGAAATATCAATAACAATGTATAAAATAGACTCCCATAACATCCTATATTTGTCGCCGTTATAATTGGACCATCACCAATTGTGTGCAATAATATGTACAATGAATAACATCCCATTGGGGCAAATATGGCCAATAATATCCCAAAATGCCATTTCAGGTAATGGTTCGCGAATTGCAGTGAATCGCAAATCTTGTGATGCCTTATAAGCAGTGAATTAAGCGATGGTTTGCCAATTGTTTTCATACTATCATTCAAATTGTGAAACATTAACCAATATTTGTACAAAATAAACATCTGAGTAAATATGCCTCGGATAACTAACGGTATAGCTATAAATGCCAAGTAAATGGATTCAAAATAACTAAACCAAAAACCAAAATGATTGGCCATGTTAATTCTAAAAATTAACCAATTAATTCCGCATGTAATTAAGCCTGTAAATATCATAATTATTGTTATACTCTTCATAACTGTTTTCAATTTAACCGACATTTTGCGCAAAGAATTGTGAATTTTATTGTTACTGATTTCAATGTAGATATCATTTACACTACGAATCCATTGATTGTCATTCATATGAAAGTCGATTATAAGCCAAAGTGTGTTTGAGAGAAATGAAATAACTATTAAGTCAACCATAAATCTGGTGTTTGCATTTCCCAAATAGTACCCAATTGAGCCAAACATTGTAAGTAGGTTTTCATCGGTATCCGAAATTAATACGAATTGAATGATCATATAAAACGTGGTAACAATTGATAACATTAATAGAAAATAATTAAATTTTGTGTAATTTTGTTGCCATTTATGAGATATTTTGAATAAACGAGTGATTGAATCAAATTGTGATAATATGTTCAATAAATACAAATAAGTTGTCTCTGTAATGAACTCCATATTAAGAGCTAAATTTAATTAATAAATATTTAAAAATTGGTTGAAAGCTTATTGCAACTAAAAATAATTATATTATATTATATTATAATTTATAAGTTAGTATTTTATATCAATGAATTTTTACAACTTATTTTATACTAATAATCAAGGTTAAGATTAGAAAAATAAATATTATTACATTTATTGACTATTTATTAATGGAATAAATATTGTATATTTAATTTTAATATTTTATTGTAATGTTGATTATTATAGTATTTTCATTGCTTGTGTTATACTATAAAATACATTAATTGTTTGTAAATAAAATAAGTTAAATTACAAAATCAAGAATAGACTACAATAAATATGCATACTTACTTGATACATGATGTATACTTTTACAGAATATGTAATATTAATAATGTTATCTATTATGTTTATTATATAAATTGAAAAATTTTATTAGTTGGTAATTATATGTCAATAAAATTAAATTGCAAAAAATATTTATTTTGATATACAATATAATTTTTTAAATTCATAAATAACATAATTTAAATAATGGTAAGAATTGACTGCAATATACATTCATATTCACTTGATGTACACTTTAGCTGAACATAAATATAATATTAATAATTTAACATTTTATGTTTATTATATAGTTGATAATGTTATGCAAGTAAAAATAAATTGCAAAAAATAATATTTATTTTATTATACTTCTAATATAAATCTTATTATTATTTTAAATAATAAAATAATAATTATTTTCAGAATTAGTTTTGTTTAGAAATAAATTCAAGAAATATTAACTATTAAATTATAGTTAATAAAAAATATTTCACTTAACTTAATATCTACTTAAATTGTGGCTAAAAATATTTTAATAAAGTAATGGCATAGAGTCTAACATAACTGAATCTAGCCGTTTGTATGGGGCATATGAATAATATATGATACTTTATTTAGGCTGATACTCAATTTTATGAGGTGCGAAATAGATTAGATTATTGCATACAAATATAATATACAACTATATTATATACCTTTGCAAATAAACTCAATGATTTAGGTGTGCACAATGTAAACGCCATTCCAACTAATTACATATACTTTAATGATTGCGTCGACCTAGACACAATTAAATAAAACCAAAGTATTCACATACAAAGTAGTCATTACCGCCGGTGCACCCGATGTCAAGGCAAGACCTATCGTTGAGAAGCGAGATGTTTTTTGCGGAACCGTCCATGGTGACATCACGACTTAAATTAATTACTATGTTTAATTTATTGCTGTTTAAACATAACGCACATAATTTATTTTTGTTAAAACATCAAATGTAAATAAAATAAATAC